CAAAACAAACCTCTCTCTTCTTGAGTTGCTTCTGCCCAGTATTTGAGCACAGCAACAAGGAACGGGTGTAATATGATTAAAGACTGCTAATAGAGTTATTTCCCTACTTGCAAAAGAGGAAAACTATTTTAAGGGGCCTTATCCCTGACTTACCCGCCCACTGTTAGCTTCTGAGACTCCCCAGAGGATCTGCGATTTCCACAGCTGTCACTCAAATGTCACCACAGGCCTCAGTACCCGTGTACCTGGTGCAACACATAGTCTAACACAGACTTTGGAAACAATGTTTCTCCTCTACAATCCAATCTCTATTAGGTTAGGAAATATATGCCTTTTGAACAAACATAGTTACATAGTTAAATTCTATACAATAAGCCTCTGCCAAAGCTCTTCTCCTTTTTAATGATACCCTCATTATTTAAAGACAGAATAGTGTGACCTAGACACATTTTCTGTAGCCACAGCAAAAGAGAAGTCGAGGATGCATTTCTGGGCTGGGACTACAGCCCTCCTGGAACATTCTAAGATGTATCTCAGGCAGCATTTGAGTTTCTGTCCTCCACTAGAGAAGCACATACACACATACATGCCTCAACAGTCATCTAACCCAAATTTTACCATCCATGGAAAACAGTCTTTAGTGCTCAGATGAACAGTACTAAACAACCATGTCCTTTAGGTATCTTATTCTAGAATAAAACTTTCCAAATTCTATGAGCCAAAAAAAAAAAAAAAAAAAAAAATTATCATTAAGTTATAATCATTTATTTCCTGTCTTCAAAACCAGCAAGACGATAACTCTTTCCAGACTATGCTACAAAATTTTGGGTCTTCAGCCAAGTCCCTATTTTGTTATACTAAATCAGATAAGGCCCAAGGGTTATGGACAGCCTTATAAACGCTTATACATTGCTTTGGCTCTGATTTTTGCTATAATTCTATCAATGAGTACCATAGCTCTAAGTTTCAATGCCGTCCTTTCCTCTGTTGAAGTTTAACCATTAATAGTTTATCTGAGAGATGTCAAGAACGGGGGCTGGAGATTCAGATGCAGCTAAGGAAGGGTGGGTGCTCTAGCTCAGTCTCCGTGTGGGTTCCCTAGCAAGAGGAGAAGAGACAGTCTCCGACATGAACTCAGTTGTCTGCTCCTTGATCACTCCTCCCTGGTGGGGCCACCTAGCTAGCTCACAGAGGAAAAGGATCCAGGCAGTCCTGATGGGACCTGATAGGCCAGAGTCAGACAGTAGGGAAGAAGTATTATCAGTGGACTAGGGATGAGGGATAGGGGAGAAAGAGGGAGGGAGGTTGGAACTGGGAGATGAGGGAGGGGGCTACAACTGGGATACAAGGTGAATAAATTATAAATAATAATAACAGTAATAAGAAGAAGAAAATAGTTTATCTGAAATTGCTGGTGATACCAGATTCTGACAACTAAGCTATTTTTCTTTTTCTCAGTCAATATCAGACAGACAAGGCACATACATGTTGAGCATGGTGGTAAAACATCTGTTTTTCAGATGAAAAAAAATCAAAATTTCAAGAGATGCTGTCAAAAAAAAAAAAAAAAAACCATACTGATCAAACTCAACAATCAGCTGGGCACTATTTCAAAGGTGAGCACAGAGGTTAAAGAATGGCATCTGGCCAGACCACAGAGGCGCTCTCAGAAACGGTGGGCATTTCCTGAAAGCAAACCTTTGGAAAGCACTCACCTTAAAGCCAATCTCGCTCTCAGACTGGGGACACCCTTCCTGCTATGCTGTTTGGTAGTCTGGGCCTGGGATTTACAGACACTCCAAAGCAAATGCAGCTATTCAAACATTTGCCCATATCTGAACCCTATCTTGGGTACTCAAGTGCGTTACGAAATGTGATTAACATACTTTGATTCTGAAAAAATCCAGAGAAGGAAAAGAATGTAAATAAAGGAATGGGAACATATACACACAACTGGACATTATGGAATCAGACATACAGACAGAAAATAAACAAGATTAAGTTGATACACGTGGGGACGGAAACACTAGCCCATTTATCCTTATGGTCCTTATGAAGTACATGAGAAACCAACTCTCTGTCCTCATTTGTAAATGAGAAAGTCAGACCTAAAGTGGAGAAAAGAACAACACAATGGGGAGGGGGACCGGGTTTTCACGGGAAGGATGAAAGCTCAGTGAGGACCCCAGTTGCTACCACTGTACTACTGTCCGCACTAGCTCCACAGGAGCACCCCATTAGTTTCCACCTGTAGTTCAGAACATTTTCCTAGTAACCGCTAGGTTATAAATAATTATCATTTCATGCATACGGAATAGGATTTTGGCCAGGGATAAAAGACACAGGCAAAAATGAAAAAGAAAACGCGATCTCTGACTTGCAGGGGGTCTGTGTGTTGTGGAGAAAGAGTGTGTGTAAGTGAATGTAAAAGACAATATACGCAATCTTAAATACTGCACAGATCTTAAATTCTTAAGGATTTGTTTCTATTTTACGTGTGTGAGTGTTTGCCGGCATGTGTGTCTATGCACTGTGTGAGCGCCTGGCCCATGGAGGCCAGAAGAGAGTGTTGGCTTGCCTAGAACCGGAGCTAGAGGCAGTTTGGAGTCGCTCTGGGAAGACTAGGAGCGGAACCTGAGTCCTCTGCAGGAACAAGAGCTTTTAACAACGGAGCCACCTCTCCAACCTTCAGAAAAATCATTTGCCTTTCACGCTTTCAATGTACTTTCCCTAAATAATACCAAGGCCTGGTGATAATAAGACAAAAATATCCATTATTTCATTTAAAAATATAGATCTGATAATTCTAATTTTTAGCTTACAAATTAACAATATTACATTTTTCAACAAATAATGGAGGTGGAGACACTACCGTGTGACTCTGCTTTCCCAGACACACCAGTGTGCGGCTGTGATGCCACCCACAGCGCTAAGGAAGCACCCAGGCCCCGGCCGTGCAAGAGGGAAATAGGAGATGTTAAACTTTGTCACAAAGAACTCAGGACCTCAGCGGGACTGGCAGGCATTTGTTTAAATGAGGAGGCACTATGCAAGCCAATCGAAGAATCAGTTTTTAAAGCAAAGTTTTAATATGGCTTAATAACGATTTGCCAAGGTTACATGGGATTAAAAAAAAAAAAAGATACACAGACCATAATTTACCAACAGATGTTTCGATTAAACATTCGAGAATTGATCCTTCCTAAAATTCTATCAGCACGGTGGAACGTTAGGACTATGTGAGGAACTATGTAACTAAACATTAGGTTCTGAAAAAGAAAATTACTATTTTCAAAGAGCAGGCTCTGAGAACTCTCGTTACCAAAACGGATTATTTTCTAAACCAAAAGATTGCCAAACCAAAGAGAACAGCACATAACTCCTTTGTGATACCAAAGTTTAATAACCATTTCAAACAGATATAGGATTTTAAATAGACCAAGTTATAGTTAAATGCATACCCTTGATAGAATAAATGACCTAGTCAACTCAAGATCAAGTGTGTCTTGCATCACAGCTAAAGCCAAAATCTCTTGGGAAACACCCCAGCAATTCCCTAAGTCAGCTACTAATTATCTTTAAAGGGTTCTGACATGACATTGTAACAACTTTCTTCACCCCTATCTGGGAAGGTAAAAGAAAGGTGAGAGATTTAAAGTCTAACACACATGTCATATTATTTTTACTTTATCACCATGTGTTGATAAATGACATCACTGACAGAAAGAATTAAAGCTGAAAGCAAGTCAGAAATGATAGCTTTCAAACCTAAATATATCTCAAATACAGAAATAAGAAATCTTTACTCATTCAATTAGGATAACTACATCCTAAAAATAAATTAGATTAGATAAATTTTTAGATTATATAATTAGGTTATATAATTAATCATAACACTACATATAATATCTTCATATCCTTTGTGACATACTTGGGCTATGGGTAGCTCATGGACACTTGAAATATTTATTAACTTTTATATTATTCATGATTAAGAGCAAGCACATGTTTTGATGGGCCATATTCCAAGGAACACCAGATATATTGGCTTAAGTCTGAAATGTCTCCTATAGGCTGATGTTTATTTGAGTTTTTGAAAGATTTATGTCTTTTAATTATGTATATGGGGGGATTGTACACATGCGCACAGATACCTGTGGGGGCCAGAGGCATCCGACCTTCCAGAGCAGCAGTTAGAGGTAGCTCTGAGTTGCCTAACGCAGTTGCTGGGAACTTAACTCTAGGTCCTCTGCAAGAGCAGTACATGCTCTTAACCACTGAGCCATCTCCCCAGGCCCTATGCTTGTATTTTAGATGTTTAGTCCTCATCTGATGGTGAGCTTTTGGAAGGCTGTGGAGTCTTTCACTGATGGGAACTGGCTAACAGAAGTGTGTAGGAGGAGCAAGCCTTTGAAGCTTATTGCCTGGCCGGTGGTTCCAACCTGTTTCCTGGTTCACAGGCATGTGAACAGCCTCTGCCACACACTTCTACCTGCACTGGCTCATCTGTGCCTCCACACCTTCCCTGATGTGATGATCTTAAATCTTCTGAAGCCATAAACCAAAATAAATCTTCCCTCTCTGTCGTTTCCCACAGGCATTTTGTAACAGCAACACGAAAGTAATTAAGGAATACTACTCAGCTATTAAAAACAAGGAAATCATGAAATTTGCAGGCGAAGGGTGGGAACTAGAAAAGATCATCTTGAGTGAGGTAACCCAGAAGCAGAAAGACACGCATGGTATATACTCACTCTTATGTGGATATTAGCCACATAATATAAAATAAACATACTAAAATCTATGACCTAGAGAAGCTAAGCAACAGGGAAAACCCTAGAGAAGATGCTTAATTCTCATTCAGAAGGGAAAACAGGATAGACACCAGAAGTGGTAGAAGAGCAAGAACAGGACGGGAGCCTACCACAGATGTCCACTAAAAGACTCTACCAGTCAGGAACAAGTGAGCGAAGCAACAGCTGTGGAACAGCAGGAGCGAAGTAATGCCTAAATCAAAGGAACTTGTTTCTTCAAGCTCTTCGGACAGCAAAGTTGAAAAAGAGTTAAAGAGGAAAGAGGAGGTTGCTCCAGATAAACCTGTGAGAAAGCAGAAGCCTGGTGAGACTTCTAGAGCTCTGGCATCTTCCATGCAGAGTAGCAGCAGCCGAGATGACGACATGCTTCAGGTCGGAAAGAGGAGACACCTCAGTGTTCAGGACTTTAGAGGAGAAGTTCTAATTGATATTAGAGAATATTGGCTGGACACAGAAGGTGCAAAGAAACCAGGGAGAAGAGGTATTGCTTTGAGCATGGAGCAACGGAGCCAGCCGAAGGACCAGATCTCTGACACAGGTGATGCAATACGAAAGCTGTAAAGTCCGAGCCATATCAAACCTGTACTGTTGCAGTTGTTTTAATCTGTCTTTTTACATTGGCTTTTGTTTGGTTTTCCAAGCTGTTGTATATCTGGATTGCAGAACAATTTGTAAGGTGAATGCTTTTTTTTAAAAAATGTGCATTATTAAAATGTTCTAAGTGAAGCTAATTGTCAACTTTATTAAAGAGGATTGCTTTGTGGCCCCTATCTAGTTAGTGTAAAATAGTCACATCATTACAATCTTAAAAAAAAAAAAAAAAAAAAGACTCCACCCAACAGGGAATTGAAACAGATACAGAGACTCATAGCCAAACTCTGAACAGATCGCAGGGAGTCTTATGGAAGAAGGGGGACATAGAAGGACCTGAGGGGACAGAAGCCCCACAAGGAGACCAACAAAGCCAAAAATCAAAACAAAATAAAACAAAAAAAACCTGGGCCCAGGGGGACTGCAGAGACTGATGCATCAACAAAGACCATACATAGAGAGGACCTAGACCCCTGCTCAGATGTAGCCCATAGACAGCTCTGTCTTTATGTGGGTTCCCTAGTAAGGGGAGAAGAGACAGTCTCTGACATGAATTCGGTTGCTTGCTCCTTGATCACTTCTCCTTGGTGAGGCAACCTAGGCAGCCCAGAGAGAAAGAGGATCCAGGCAGTCCTGATCCAGAGACCTGATAGGCTAGGGTCAGACAGTAGGGGAGGAGGACCTCCCCTATCAGTGGACTAGAGGAGTGGGATAGGGGAGAAAAAGGCGGGAGGGTGGACAGTGAGGGTGGGGGCTTCCACCAGGATACAAAGTGAATAAATTGTAATAATAATAATAATAATAATAATAATAATAATAATAATAATATAGAAAGAAAGAAAGAAAACATGTAATTCAAACTTCTCTTTGTTTCAAAAGGGAAAGCTGGAGCTGGTTGCAGGGGTGTGCCTTTGTGACCACAGCGTGCAGCATGCAGGAAGCTAGGACAGGAGGACTGCCATGCAGTCTGCTAAGCAGTAAGTCAATTCAAGGTGAGCTTGGAGTACATAATGACAGTCTGTCTCAAAAGAAGAAGGAGGTGGGTGTTGGAAATTTTGTTTAATCTTACGATCTTACAATCGCCCTCTCACAATGATCTATAAAAGTATTACATGTAACTAAATTAAAAGAAAAAAAGATCTTTTTAAACAGGCAAATGTGCTTAATACTGATTCTGGAACTTTCCCAAAAGTTTAATGGAGCCTCACAATAAAATCAGTAGGCTGTCCTTCCCATATATGAACCTAAGACAGATGGAACCAGGAAGTGAACACTCCAGGCAACAAAGGGGTTGTGAGAAAATACACAACAGGATGTGTGTGCCATCCGCTGCTCTCTGCTCAGCATCCAGAACGGCACCTTGTATGCTACAGTCACATTAAGACACACTGGTGATCTGAGACAGAGTCAACCAAGCCAACGCCTAGCCTAGCCCCACCTACCACTGTCATTTGGAAGCATAATAACCACCTTTTGAGGTGTAGCCCATAGCTATTCCACTCAACCTCCTAGAAATGGCAACGAATGTTCGGACAAAAGTCTTTCCTTACCCTTATTTTAGCCCTATTGCTGTGACATGGCCCTATACTTTGACCAGAGGTAAAGATGGACTCATGGCTCAAACTTAGAAAACTGGAGTCATGTTTGAGAATTTCAACTCCAAGGTATTTAGGCAGGTGTCACTGGAAGACATTGAAGCAAAAAGGACTGCAGTTTCTCATGGCGGTTTTAGCCAGCAGTTCTCAACATGTGGTTCGTGAATCCCTTGGGGTCAAACAACCCTTTCACAGGGGTCATTCATCAGATATCCTGCATATCAGACATTTATATTACAATTCACAACAGTAGCAAAATTACAGCTATGAAGTAGCAACAAAATTCTTTCATGGCCGGGGATCACCAAAACATGAGAGACTGAATTAAAGGGTCACAGCATTAGGAAGGTTGAGAACCATTGTTTTAGCCCCTGGTGGTGAAAAGGGGCCATTTCTTTTAACTATTCCTTGATTTCTGAGAGGCTACAAGCAAGTTTCACTTTTAGGTAGAAAATGATAGAAAGGAATGAAAGCAAACGCCAGACACTTGAGAGACTGAGGCCAGAAGATCACTAAAAGTTTGGAGTAAGCCTGATCTACATACCAAGTTTCAGACCAGCCATATACAGTGACATTATCTCAAAGCAAACAAACAAAACCCAGCCATATACAGAGACATTATCTCAAAACAAACAAAAAACAAAACAACAAAAAAACCGTAACAGTAACACTTATAATAAAATAAGTTAAAAAAGCAGGTTGTTCTCTTCTGAGATATTTCAAGGCATACAAAATATAACACTTGAAGTCAGAACAGTCCTTGAGATTGTCAGTTCAGGTCCTTCCCACTCAGGAATCCCTTTGAAAGCCTCCCTGCGAAGTGGCTCAGGATAACTACTTGTTAAACTGAAGAATCCAGTTCTATTTGCTTGATCCTTTTTAAAATAGATCTACAAATATAAATATGGAATACCTACAATGCAATAAATTATATTTGCATATAAATGTACATGTGTCCTATCTTTAAGATACATTTTCTGATAGTAGGATTAAGAAGTCAAACAACCGCACTGTCCGCTCTAGGCTTCTGATGTTATAACAGAGTCACATTTCACACAGACACACAGCATCAGGCATTGTCTTTAAACAAGATAGAATTTTAGAAGACAAACGTTGACCGCACCTTTTAAATCTGAAAATAATGACTTTTGGATTTAAGTGAATTACATATCAGTGAATGTCTATTAAAATTTCACCTTGTTTTCACCGTTGCTCTTAGACTTAGGAAATTCTTTTCTATTTTGAACTGTGTCAGCTTGACTAGACTGTTTTTCTAGATTTTTTTTCCCTACTGATCTAGGTGTTATGCAGAAAATGTTCGACATAAATTCAATACTTATTTTTAAGAATATATGAGCTCAACAGGGCTGCAAGGCCGGCTTAGCAGTGAAGGACCCTGATGGCTCAAGTGGCTCACAATCAGCTGTAGTTCAGGCCCAGAGGAACCAACACCCTCTTTCGACCTCCAGTGGCACTGCACATCGGGCGCCAACATACATACAAGCAAAAATACACAGACATAAAAATAAAGGGGAAAACTTTAAAATGAAGTATATGTCTCAAAACTAAAAGATTCGTGAGAGTCAAAGGTGACGTAAATTTGTGGGGATGTCAGATGCTTCTCCTTTAATCACATCAAACCAGACCAAAGACAAATGTCACACCGCTTAAAATAACAGCATAACCAGAGAGGAAAGTTTTACTGAGGAAGTGAAAAGAAAACTGTAAGAAAAAAAAAAAATACAGAAAGAACAGAACAGGAAAAGGGGAGGGGGTTCTTTAATAATATTAAATTTTCAAAAAAAAATTTAAATGCTTAATTTTCAGCGAAGTTAGCTAAGCATAAAACAAAAGGCACTAAGAAGAGCTATTTTCTGACTATATAATCTACTTAGCCCCAAATGCCACACACACACTTTCAATTTACTATTATTCTTGATGAAAAAACAAATGTCATGACCTTAAAGTCCCTTAACCGTAGGCACTGGGAAGTCAGACTATCAAAATTGAAATGCAGTGTTCTTCAACAGATGGCACCAAGAAAATAAAGCTACAATGAATGAAACAAGGCATCATAGTGATATCTAGGTATGAACTCAAATGTGATAACGCAAGCCAGCAAAGATTTAAAACTTTCCAATAGAAAAGCCTAAAAGGTCAATAAGTATTAAAAAAAAAAAAAAAAAAAAAAAAAAAGATGGTCAGTATGATCAGTCAATAGGAAAATTAAAGTTAAAACTCAATGAGATGCTACTTTAAATATACTGGAATGAAAAATAAAAAAGAATGACAAATAGGACATACAACTAGCAGAGGAACCATTGTGGAAACGGTTCATCAGTTGCTTAATTTGAATTCACCGTTGGACCCAACAACTCACTCCCAAACACTTACCCAAGACAATGAAAGCATGCATTTATAAAAGACGCTCACAAATTATGAATCCTTTAATTTCAAAACGGAGATGAGAAAAATATCTGTTAGTCCATAAAGAAATAAATGATAGTGTATTTGTACAGAGCGATTTGTACTCAGCGATTTAAAAAAAAAAAAAAAAAAGTGAGCAAACTGCTCAGACAGGCCACAAAATCATTATTATCCTGAACAAAAGAAGCCAGACACAAAAGAATATATACTATGGATTCCATTTTCGGGAAATTCTAGAACTGGCAAAACTATTCTAGTGTGATAGAGAATGATCTGATTGTTGTCCGGGGACAGGGTGGGGATGGCATCACTGGGGCACAAGGACATTTTCTGAGAAGATGGAGATGCTTTAAGATTGATCACAATGATGGCTATAAGACACATTTCCCAGAGGTCAGCGGCCTGCAGCCTAAAGCATGAATTGTAATGTCCCATCCCATACTACAAATTAAAAAAAAGGATAAAGTCTTCATTAGCTGTTATCAGAGGGTTGTTATAAAGCAGCATTACTGCCCGACCTTGCTTTCTAGGTTCTCGTCTCACCACAGGAGCTGTCTCTTGTACACACACTCCTGTCATTAAGGCAACTACTAAAACGTGACACAGCCAGAGCAAAAATCGGCAGACCGTCTGCTCTCAGGGTGTCACTCTCCAAAAACGTTAGCTAAGTAAGCCTCTTTTTCTCAAGTTAAGACCAAGCCTCTGGTGTTCTGTTATTATAAAAGAAAATGGATCAATGCAATAGGCCAAACATAAAGCCAAACATAGCCCATGCCTCTAAATCTCAGTGAGGTTGAGGTCAGTGTGGGCTGGACAGCAACGTCTCAAAATGAATATAAGCATCTTGTTTAGTTCCACAACATCTTGTCACACACTTTCCCCTATGAAGCCAGGCCTGGTGAGTAGACCCCCAGCTCTTGAGATGTGGAGGGTTAAAGTCTGAGGCCT